AAGATTCCTGAAAATTTCCCCAAGAGTTTACAAATACTTGTTGGGTAAGGAGTTAAATTCTTTCATAAAGCTCAAAATAACAACATTAAGCCAAATAAAACAAATTAACAATAACAACAACAACAAAAAGTTTGGAGGGTCCTCCAGTTCCTTCTGCTTTTTCCTTTGTGCTGATGGAGAAAAACAGAGTACTCGACTGCTCTGTGACTTGACCAGTTGTGTGTTTTCTCCTGTGGGCCTGAACCCAAGCCAGAGACTTGAACATTCCCAAGCACTGATAAAGTTTTTTAGGTTGTTCCTTGAAAGACTGAAAGATCAAACATACTGCTAAACATGTAGGAGCTAGCAATGGTTCTGGGCCCAATTCCTTAAAACCTCATATGAACTCCATAACTCATTCTCTTAAGTTCCCCTAATAAATGCTTTGGACTGATCACCCTGGTATTTAGTGCTTCTTTCTCGGAATCATAATGGGCCACTTCTCAGGACAGTATGGGGCAGTCCCATATGGGACTTCCCCTGCTGCTGCTTTTGTGAAAACTCCTGCCACGAGTTCTTGGGGATGGAACTATATTCTAGACCCAATGCTTGTGTTTTTTCACCTGATTTCAATTAGGAAAAAATCTTATTGCAGATTATTCAGTACATGGCAGGTTGAGATGATATTTTATTTAATACCTTAAAAAGACTGCAAATTGAGGATAATTTTAAAACATATTTTAATCATTGTAATTTTTTCTGATTTATTTTTTAATGAAATGTATTGATTATACATATTTATGGGGTACAAAGTTATATTTCACTACATCTATAAAATGTGTAATGATCAAATCAGGGTAATAGCATATTAATCATTGCAAAACATAATCATTTCATTGTGATGTGAATATTTGATCTCTTCTATACTATCCATTTGATAACATGCAATTATTATTAATCATAGACGCCAAGCTCAACTGTACACCAATAGAACTTATTTTTCTCTTATAGCTGTAATTTTGCATCCATTATCCGGTCTTTCACTTTCCCCCACCCCCCTCC